TCTGTGACGGGGACAAGTATCCCATCTTGAAAGCAAGACTTAAAGGGGTTAGCCATTGGTAGAAAGATTAGACAGATTTAGAGACTTAGAATTAGTGGGAAACAATCCAGGAGAGGAGTGGCTCCAAACCTCAGCCATGCGCCATTTAGATTAGTTTCACCTTCCTTAGAGCTCTTTTCGCTTGCGATGTTTCCCCATCCCAAACTACCTAGTTGGTGAGAATGCCTCAACCTCCCTAACTTTCTGGAGGTGTCTCACTCACTACCCCACACACTTCACCCCTCTCTGACCGATTCCCTTGTGGGACAATATCCAGTTGGTGGTGCTACTTGACAATAAGCAGGTCAGTATAAGCCCCTGACTAGGTCCCTGTGGACTGCCATTAAGCTGTATGTAGTGGCCTGGATATCTACAGAACTGCGGATTGTGACTCCACACTCACTCTGTGTCTCAGACATGTTTCATTCTCTCTCACACAACCTCTGCGATCCTCCCCAACCACCAAGGAGCACTTTGCCAGTCAATGGCGTTTCTTACCTTCCTCATCTGTGCACAGAATTTCTTGGTCGCTGCGGTGCCTGCTAAAGCTTTTTCTCCCTGTGTTGCCAATGAGCCCCTCACCTGGATGGAATTATCCAGGATGAGCACCCAAATTGTTAGAAATAAGACCCCCGAAGACCACCAGAGTCACAATTGAAGACACAGAAACAGAGAATTGTCTTGTCTTGGCGAGGCAAAACTTACTTCTGCAGAAGGGTTCACAGGCACATAGCCACAGCAAGCACATGGAGTAGACCATAGGTCTGCATTTTTATCCCTGACATGGTGGGGTTCCACCCCCCTTACTCGGATTGATCAAGTTTGGGTGCACAATCTGCTTGCAATTGGCTAATGTGACACTTGGAATTTGCGGGTGGGGTAGATAGTAATTTTGGCACAAAAACAGCTCAGTGAACAAGAACCTAGAATTGTGAGCAGCTAAGATGGAGACACACTTTGATAGAAAAGGCTGTTTTCTGCACAACTGTCGGTTTTTGAATGACCCCTCGTCTCTGGGATAAACCCTGTTGCAGTAGGTCTTTCCTCCTGGCTGGGATAAGAGATCCCAGTTGGTCTGATTTGGTTCCACACTGGAGGGGAGGGAGAGGCAGGTCAGGTGAGAATCAGTGTCATTAAGACCCTTTTGGTCAAATTTAAGCAACAAAGAGGATAGAAGGAGTGGTTCCTAGGCTAGGCTTACCTGAAGTCTATTAAGTTTAATTTTGTCTATTTTGTAGGTCTTAAAAATGCTCTTAGTTTATTAGATAAAGTTATACTTTTGAAGAAAAGACAAAGGTACAAAGTTTTACAGGGAAAATATAAAAATAACTGATGAAAAAATATATTTTTAGGAATACATACTTGAAAAATAAGTACTTACAAGAGATATTTTCCATGAGTTTGATCATAAATGTCTTAGAGAAAGATTCAAACTGCAGATGACAAAAGCACTTACAATAGTCATTCTTAGAATTTTTAAATGTTTGGCAATTGACAATAACTTAGTTATTTTCATTGCATATAGCATTTTAGGATAAAAATCATGATTGACAGCATTATATCAGCACTATTAAGCTCTCCTTGTTACCATTAAGAATACATGCACACAAACCTGTAAAAGACTACCATCAATAACAGTTTTCATCTGGAGGATACCAGTTTGTACAGCACTTTTAAAATGTTACATTTTAGAAGACTTAAATACTTGGAGACCACAAACACATTTAACATACAAGGGAGCCAGCAACAGTTAACATCACAGTTTTGCATATATCATACACATATATTAACTTAGTTTTTACTCTCAGAGTAAGACCTTAAATCATTTGACAGATAAGATAACAGGTGTACAATACTGACAAAAATCAAGTCCCTAGGTTTCCCACAAGTTAGGGGGCAGTACCAGTGACTCCAAATAGCCCCACTTTTTAAATGTACAAATCTATCTCATATATACAATAATGTTTACTCAACCAAGACAAATAGATGCAGTCCAGGTTTCAAACAGCAGGGCTGGCCAAATGCCCAGGCTTGTTACTAGAAACCAGTCCTCTGGCCTCAATGCTAATTCACAAATAATGAGAAGCAGGGTTTTGAGGAAAAGGAAATAAGATTTATTATTCATCAGATGAAGAAGAGGATAGCACTTCTTAAAGCACTGTCTTCCCCCTTCTGAGAGAAAATATCCACCTTTTATTTTTTATTTTTTATTTTTTTTTCTTTTATTATTCATATGTGCATACAAGGCTTGGTTCATTTCTCCCCCCTGCCCCCGCCCCCTCCCTTACCACCCACTCCGCCCCCTCCCTCTCCCCCCCCCAATACCCAGCAGAAACTATTTTGCCCTTATCTCTAATTTTGTTGTAGAGAGAGTATAAGCAATAATAGGAAGGAACAAGGGGTTTTGCTGGTTGAGATAAGGATAGCTATACAGGGCATTGACTCACATTGATTTCCTGTGCGTGGGTGTTACCTTCTAGGTTAATTCTTTTTGATCTAACCTTTTCTCTAGTACCTGTTCCCCTTTTCCTATTGGCTTCAGTTGCTTTAAGGTATCTGCTTTAGTTTCTCTGCGTTAAGGGCAACAAATGCTAGCTAGTTTTTTAGGTGTCTTACCTATCCTCACCCCTCCCTTGTGTGCTCTTGCTTTTATCATGTGCTCAAAGTCCAATCCCCTTGTTGTGTTTGCCCTTGATCTAATGTCCACATATGAGGGAGAACATACGATTTTTGGTCTTTTGGGCCAGGCTAACCTCACTCAGAATGATGTTCTCCAATTCCATCCATTTACCAGCGAATGATAACATTTCGTTCTTCTTCATGGCTGCATAAAATTCCATTGTGTATAGATACCACATTTTCTTAATCCATTCGTCAGTGCTGGGGCATCTTGGCTGTTTCCATAACTTGGCTATTGTGAATAGTGCCGCAATAAACATGGATGTGCAGGTGCCTCTGGAGTAACAGTCTTTTGGGTATATCCCCAAGAGTGGAAATATCCACCTTTTAAAGGGGAGTTCAGGAGCTCAGTTGGAGTACATGACCAAACACACGTCCCAGAATAGGTGCTGGCCTTGGCTCTCAAGGAGCCCTGGTGCCACTTCTCCAAAGCTGTAGGTCTTGGCTGACAGGTTTACTTCTTTGATAGTCAGAGAGAGATAAGGGGTAGAAGACTGCCTGGTTTAATTGAAGAATAAAGGGTGTTAATCTTGGGCTCTTAAGCAAGTAGACAAAAGGAAGGGAAATGGCAGTTTGATTAATAAGCAGAGTACACTGGCCAGCATGCAAGTTTGCTACGCCAGAAGTTTTTCCCAGTTACATTTTCCCCACTGTCAATTTATTCCTTCCATTTCTATGGAAAAGAGGTGTCATAATCATTTAACTATTTCCTGCCACTAGTTAATTTGTGGGTCCAAGTAAGGAATCAGTGTGCCTCAACAAAAGCAGCTTTTAACCACCAGTTACAGTCCACAGGTATGTGGTTCCTAGAACACTGCTGTTGACAAAAAACCACACCTGCTCAAGGTTCATGGAGAGTTCAGCATGCACTGTCCATGCGTGGTTCGTTTTCCCACACCGCCACCCAACTTCCACCAAAGACAGCTGCCTTCCAACAGCTCTAAACCTCACTTCATCACTGCGGTTAAGCACAGTCACTTTCACCTTGCTTTTGGGGCACAATTTGTTTTCTGAAAGGCATAGTTTCACAAAATGAAGGGCAGGGAAGACTCAGCAAATCACACAATGATTTAAACACAACTGACGCTAACACAGGACTGATAGAGAGCTTCATGTCACCTGAGCTGTGTGATACATCCATGGGAATTTTAAATTTTTGTTATTGAAATTTCTTTTGAATTTATTTACTTGACCATGCTTGGTCAAAACCAGGTGTGATAAACCCATGAATATGTCAGGCTTACTCTATTTATACCACTTTTCTCTCTCACAGCAGAGGGCTCAGTTAGTTCTTCATCTTAAATGCACGTGTATTGTATATCATGCAGTGAATATGTATTCATTGATCTCTATATTTTCTCTATAAATTCTGTTGGTTTTTAATGAATAGGGGATACTCTATAATACTGGGATGCAAATACTGTCAAATTTACTCCAAATGAAAATTAAATTTGGCTGAAGACCCCATGGATTCAGACTGGTGAAAAATCTATGATCTTTTGATTGTGGGGAGGGGCACTTATCCATTCTTTTTATACAACAAAACTACAACTCTTTTATGGCCCCAGAAAATAAGGCAAGGGTCTCGCCATGACCATTCTTTGGGCTTAGAGATGGAACCTCCTCCCCTCAGATGCCAATTTTGCTGAGTCACAGCAGACTCTGAGTTCTGTACTTCCTGGTATCCGCCTGGTCATCTGTACCCATGGTCCCTCCATACCAAAGGCATTGCTACAGGCCCAGGGCCTCTAGGCACAGGACCCATAGTCCAAGAACTCCTCCCCAAGATCTTATTTCAAATCATAGGGAGCTTATGGCCAAGACTATGGAATAGTCCATCAAATTAAATTCTCAGTAAAGCACCCCTGATGGGTGTTTTATAACAATTCATCAATTGTTGTAAATACAACAATTTCATCATTGTTGTTCAGGCAAATGGATTTAACACTTTATTTCAGGAACTTGTTTTATCTGCAAGATAAAATTATTCAGACTCCCATAAAATCATCATCTTGTTTCATTACTAGTCTCTCTGAGTCAGAATCTCTGGTTTTATAAGGAAAACTTTTCTGGTCTGATACATGGCCCCTTTCTCAGGAACTTTACTGCAGACCAGCATATCTTATTCTGAAATATGCACTCCATGCTGTTCCTTGATATCCTAGGAAGAAACACATGTGTCCATGCAGGTTCATGCAAAGATCATGTGTTCTGGATTGCCATAGTGGTGGTCTTGTGGGTCTCACTGATCCCAGTGATGTAGATGTTGTTTTATTTTCTAGCTGAGGAACTCAAACACATGTGAGGTGTGTCGGAATGGAGGAACTCTGTTCTGCTGTGATACTTGCTCCAGAGCCTTCCACAAGAACTGTCACATCCAGACGGTGGAAGTTGAGATGTGAGTGAGATACAGTACCCATCTCTCTTCTCCTACGGACAGTTCCCTCTGCCATGCACACTGAGATCCAGCTGTATGATTCAGACAGCTGTTTAAAGATGCTGTGAACCGGTGATTCATGTTCTTTGTGACTTCCTTAGAGTTAGTTTTCTAGAACCATTACCTAGAAGAATGGTCTGAGATGAGGTCTCATAATCCCGTGGTTTACTATGGAGTGTAATCAGAGGAGAGTGACAAAGAAGCAACATAACATGGTAGGAAAAGCATCCCTTCTGGGATGTGAAGGCCAGTGACCAGAGTCCTTTGCCTAACTGCTATGACTGTCTTTTTCTCAAAGTTTTGAAGCAGTTACCTCAATCCATGGACTTGGGGATGGGAATCACCAGTTTTTTTGTTCTGTGCTTATTCAGGAAAGAAGGAAACATTACAGGTTCCCACATTTAACCAGGTCTCATTGGGCTGATGGAGGCTCAATGTCTGCAGGGGTTGAAACCCAGCTCCTTCCACCAGGGTAGGGTCCTTGTGTTCCCAGTAATTCTGGGAAAAAGAGAGCCTACTACTCACCATGAGACTTCTTTCCAAGGATTGACCCCCACTGCTGCCATTGGTGATCAGGGAGGTAACAGCCCGAGATCTCATGTGAAGGTCTTGGGCACTCTGGGAATTTGTTCCCCTTATGCACAGCTGAGCCTATTGTCCAGTCCTGAAGAGAGGACAACAGTAGCCATAGGGATGGTGGCTGTTTCCAGGTGCCTTGCCCTCTGATTACCATATGTCTGACTTCTCAGGACCCCGTGGAGCTGCATCTTCTGCAGGATAGAGTCCTTAGGAAACCAACAGAGCCATTCAGAATCTGAGATCCTGGAGAGGTTGATGCAGCCTGAGGAACAGCTGGTGAGCCACTGAACACCCCAAGTATTCTACTTTCCTCACTTGTTCTGAGAAGCACAAACAGGCCTGGGGTCAGGGGAATGATACCTAGGTAGAGCCTATTGTTCGAAGCCACACTTCCACCATGCTGATATCAAACTAAAACTTGGGTTCAGAAAAAACAGTTCAGCTATTGCCCATCTGTTTCCAACAGCCACATAATTTGGGGAAACTTCTGGAAAATGGGCATGAGCTGTGCCTTCTGCCTGGGCATGCATATGGGCTCCTTTTTTCACTGCTTTTCATTGACAGCCTCCCTCTCTTGCAGAAATGTGAGTTCCTCCTCTTGAAGGTCTATTGCTGTTCTGAGAGCTCCTTTTTTTCCAAGATTCCATATTATTATTATGTAAGTACCAGCAGTGAACCATGATCACAGAATGCCATGTTGCATGACTCTGAAATGGGCTCTGTGAAGCTTGTGATATTTAATCCCCTGGGAGTCAAAGTACAAGCTCTGTGGTCTTCACCTTGTTGTTTCTATTGGGTTTTGCGGGAATCCAAAGAAGATAAATACTGAGCAGTTTTGCCATTGGTTTTTTTGTCATCAGTTTGAGGAGACTTCTAAAGATCTGAAGGAACCCATGTGGTTGGACAAAATCAAGAAAAAGCTGACTACGCAGAGTTACCACCAAGTGAAAGGGTTTGTGAAGGACATGCGTCTTATCTTTCACAACCACAAGGCCTCATACAAAGTAAGCGGCTTTCTACTTGCATTTCCTTTTCCTTCCCTTGGGTTGCTTTTCCGGTACCTGGAAAGTTCAGTTTCTTGCATCTTCCTGTAACAAGGTTGCACAAGCAGGTGTTCTAGAAGCGAGTGGCTTTTTGTTTCAGTTTAAGATTTATGTAACAGTGACTCATAAGGAGACTCAGCAAACAGAAGGGTCCCAACACCTCCAAAGTTCATTCCTCTCCCCTCCTCCTGGCACACAGAACATGCAAGCCTTCCTGCTCCCCCACATACAAAGAAGAGAATTTAGTCTTAAAGCCATTTTTGTGTTTCTTATCTTCCCTCAACCACACTTCTCAGAAATCCCAAACTCCCGGGTTCCTTTACAAGTGAATGGACCAAGTAGTTCACAGGGATTATCAGAGAAGGATAGAAGAGAAAAGAAGGAAGAGGACATTAATGTCATCTCATATACTTCTTCTATTTTAATTGTTACAAAGAACAGAGATTACTTTTCTGACTCTCACTGAAATAAACAACCAAAGCCAAATAAGTAATAATCCCTAGTGTGGTAATGATTTCATATTCCTTCTAGTTAATAAGCAATAAGCATGCTTGTAGGATATAGATGTTTCTCTTAGCTGCATGACTTTTTGGTTTAATCTGGTTAGTGTAATTTAGGACAATAGTCCTGCTCATTCTCAATTGCAAGGTGTCTAATGACATTGATAACAAGCATCTTCATTTTTGTCTTCATTTTTTTTTTTTCAGTACCAAGAGTTTGGCCAAATGGGACTTAGACTGGAGGCTGAATTTGAAATAAATTTCAAAGAAGTGTTTGCTATTCAGGAGACAAATGAAAATCATTGAAGGTCAGGTGCCAGTGGCTCACGCTTGTAATCCTAGCTACTCAGGAGGCAGAGAGCAGGAGGATTTTGGTTCGAAGCCAGCCCAGGCAAATAGTTTGTGAGAAAAAAAAATCACCAAAAGTAGGGAGTGTAGGCCCTGAGTTCAAGTCCACAAAAAAAAAAAAGAAAAGAAAATCATTGACGGAGCAATGGAGCAGGTGTTATCAGTGTCCTTGCACATTCTTCTGAGCAGATCTTCCCACCTTCAACCTCAGTGAATGCTGTCTGCCAACTCAATCATTCCCAGAAGATTGGTATGGACCACATGGTGCCAGCTTCAGCTAGAGGTTCTACCTCCTGGCCTGGGGGCTAGGGACTTGGCTTAAGAGGTAGAGCCTCTGTATAACAAGTGTGAAGCTCTGAGTTCAAACCCCAGAACCACAACAACAACAACGAAAACTACTTCCTGGCCTGAGGGCTGATTCCCTTGCCTCAAATTGGAGCAATAGCATGGTAGGATGCCGTTCGCATGGGGCCAGGCTGGAGCTAACCTCCAGCTGGCTCAGCTTCTACCATTACCTGTTTCTTCCTTTGTCTCCCTTCTCCTGAGAGCAGTGCATAATAAACAATGGACTCATGAGACTTCCTCCCGGACTCTGCTTCTAGGGGACCCCACCCTAAGATAATGATCCTAAGGGGACAAAGGAAGGGATTCTGGCATTGGGTCACTGTGCAGCCAATTGGTGATAAATGGAATAGCAATAGTCCTTGGGGAGCTCTTAGAGTGCAGTTGCCCAAACTTTCACCTGTAAGAAAGCCAAGACAAGCTATAGGGGAACAAATACATGAGCTAGTGGAATTGTCTGGCATTTAAAGAGGGAGGAAAAGTAAGCGTAAGAACTGTGGGGTTTGGTGGCCATTGCTAACTGCTACTAATGTACTGATAAAAGTAAGTGACAGAAATTAGTGCAAACATTCTGGAAAGCAGTGTGGAGATTCCTCAGAAACTAAAGGTAGAACTGCCGTGTGATCCAGTGGCACCACTCCTGGGCATCTACCCAAAGGAACGTAAGACAGGATACTGTACAGACACCTGTACACTGATGTTCACCGCAGCACTATTCACAATAGCCAAGCTTTGGAAACAATCCAGGTGCCTTGAAACTGATGAATGGATCAAGAAATTGTGGTATATATTCACAATGGAGTATTACTCAGCTATAAGGAATAATGACATGTGGTCTGAAGGTAAATGGATGCAGTTGGAGGACATCATGTTAAGTGAAGTCAGCCAGGATCAGAAACACAAAAGCAGCATGTTTTCTCTCATACATGGAAGATAGATCCAAAGATAAACATATACACAAAACCAAGCATGGTCATATACGAGCTCAGATGTAGAACGTGTTTATAATAATGGAACCACTCTATAGAATTTGGGGAAAGAAGGAAAGGAAAAGGGAATGAAAGAGCATCAGATGAGAAGGTGGAGGATACAAGAATGTATATTGAAAGCTATCAAAAAATGGGGGGGTGGGAGGTAAAGGGGTAAGGGAGAGTCATGGAAGGGACTGAACAGACCCACAATGGGCATACATTGAGACACCCCTGGAACATCAACTTAAATATTAATAATGAAACACAGGACCTTAAAATAGGTGCAGTGGGGGGGTAGTAGAGGGGAGGGGTAAAGGAAGAAGATTACGATGATGGTATAGGGTAGATGGATTTCATACACCTTTATGAAACAGAACTAAGAAGCCACTTCCAAAGGCTTTAAGTGGCGGGGAGAGATGATGGGGGCAATGATGTACAATATAAGTCTAAACAGCATTGTCACTATGAATCCCCTCTGTATAACGAATATATCCCAAAAAAAGTTTATAAAAATATAAACATACCTAAACAACATCAAAAAAGTAAATGACAGACTTAGATCTATTAGTCACCAGACAAAAGGGAAAAGACCCTCACACCTGCAGCTGGAAGGGACAGCAAGGAAGGCACTGTCACCATGGCCCCTGTTAGAGTAGACTGTGGAAGCGGCTGTGGTGGGGGGGGGGGGGGGGGGGGGAGGGGCATCAGGTACTGCCAATCTCCAGTGGGTCCATTGGATCCTCAGAGGTGTTTCCTACATTTCTGGGAAATGGGAAAGATTAGTGCCACCTACAAAGACTTGAAGGAGGCTTGGGCTGTTATCCATATTATACCTCCATTTAATCCATTGGTCTGCCCTCTGCAGGTGACCACTAGGTGATGCTAGAAACTTACCAAGGATGAGCCCTAATTGCAGCTGCTGTGCCAGATGTGCTATCTTTATTAGAGCATGTTGGCACAGCCTCTGGGAAGTGATGTGCAACCATTAATGTGGAAAATGTACTTTTCAAATATTCACCAGGAAGCGGGATGAGACAACAGTGTACATGTGCAGTCTTGCCCTAGGGCCAAGTGAATTCTGCTTTCTGTGACAGCCCGTCTGGATTCTGCAGTACTTCATATTGCTCACTGTATTGATGACAGTGTGTTCATTGGATCTGATGCACAAGAAGTGCTGAGCATTCTGAATGACTTGTTAAGTCAGGGGCATTCCAGGTGGTAATCGTTAAACCTTAGAAAGATTCAGAGACCCGCATATAGGCAAGTGGTGGTGGTGGGGTTCCAGTGGTTGGGCGCATGCTCGGATCTCCCCTCCAAAGCTCCAAGCTCTTCACAGTTTGCACCTTTCACTACTAGAAAGCCCAGTGCTCCACGTGAGGACATAGGCTTTGTAAACCCTATATGGGGGTGGGGTAGCAGAGGGTATCCATCTAATAATATATAATAGATATTGTCACATGTCAGTAAATAAAGTGCTATGTCAAAGTGTTCCAGCTTTTGCTTTTCATTAAACCTCATTTACACTTGAATCTTTTAGTTATTTTGTGGTGTCAGAAACAATAGGACTTTGTTCTGAGAAGCAGGACAGGCAAAGGCTCTAAAGTTATAGAAATAAGGGCAAAATAGTTTCTGCTGGGTATTGAGGGGGTGGGGGGAGAGGGAGGGGGCGGAGTGGGTGGTAAGGGAGGGGGTGGGGGCAGGGGGGAGAAATGAACCAAGCCTTGTATGCACAAATAAATAAATAAAGTTAGCCCTTGTGCTAGAAACCACCTGCTGGCTGTGTGACCTTGAACAAGTTATCTATTCTTCCCTGCACTGGCTTTGCCTACATAACAGAGTTTCTGGTTCGGATGTGGCTCAATAATTGTGTGGTTAATGAGTTAGTATTTATTATGCATGTAGGAAGAGTGTGATTTTGTATGCAATATAGAAATAATAAACAAGACAACTGACTTGTAAAACTAACCCAAGCATCCTGTGTCAGTCAGGGCTCTTTGCCATCAAGAGAGACCCAATTTATCTAGGGGTCTTTACTAATGGAACTCACAGCTGCTCACAGAAAAGGCTGGAAGGCTGGAGTGCTGAGCTGCAAACAGCCCAGAACCCAGCACAGGAATCAGAGTGGCTCTAGGACATGACACCAGGATCAACTGAGCCGTGTTGAACATGGTAGTGAATGGTTGCAAACTTGTTGTGTTGTTTATTTGAACTTTTCACAACTATTCACTTCAGAGTCCAACTCCCCCAAGACAGTCTGGCTGGCCGGGATTATTTAAATGTGTCCTCCTCCCCTCCCAAAGTGGAGATGTTGTTCACCTGAAGGAACTGAGTACTGTTAGAAAAGGAGGATAATGGAGGCTGGCAGCCAAGGAAAACACAGCTGACTGGTGGAAGTGACCTGGTGGCACTAGCAGGGGTGGACCACTGCTGTCCAGTAGAGTGATAGGACAACTCCAGGCCAGTCAGAGGGGTGCAGAGCTGGGGGCCAAGTTCCTTGAGTCTGCTGTGGCAGTGTAAATTGTGTTTGTCTGCCCTGTGCTGCAGAAGCACAGGCTTCGTTGATCATTGTTCTAGAAGGGAAGGTGTCCACCCCACCCTACTGGACAACCAAGTACAAGGAAGGAAACTAAACCTGCCAGTCACATTTACATCGACTCATACTCTGTGTGTGTGTGTGTGTGTGTGTGTGTGTGTGTTGTGGTGTCCCTAGGAGCTGCTAGAGGACCTGACACTCTCATCCTGACCTGCAAGGTCAGGTAATGACCCCTCTGCCTGAATTTCCCATTGCCACTGCTCTGCTGTGCTGGGGATGCCCGCTTTCTACTGGGAGAGGAGATGAGAACCTTCCAGTTGTCCCTGGGTCACAGAACTGGGAGGTGCCCTGTTTGACGCCACAGCAGCCTCGAGCCCAGGAACTGAACTTACCTTGACTGTGTTTCCTATCAGGCCAAACTCTCGTCTGCTCAGCTGGGTGCTGTTTCTTTCCTGATTAGATGCCCAAGGTTGGAGAGACAACAAAGTTTATTGCAAAACGAAAGCAAAGGCTTCTTTGAGAGAATTGAGAAGCAGGACCTGGAAACTGATATCAAGAATGAAGATTTCATCAAAGAATGTGTTCAAGTTCATAACAAGTTACGGTCAGAGGTGAATCCAGCAGCCAGAAATATGCTACACATGACTTGGGACCCAGTGCTAGCTCAGATTGCAAAAGTTTTCAGCCATCTCATCCTGGTACAATGAAATCCAGTACTATGACTTCAACACTCAGAAATGTACAAAAGTCTGTGGCCATTACACTCAGGCAACAGACAAAGATTAGATCCTTTCCAACAATCATTGGAAGAAGAATGAAACAGCTTGGTTAAAGACTCCCTGATTTCATCCTTATAAAACATCTCCGTAAGGGATTCAAGATTCAAGATAATTTCTCATTTCAATTCATGCTGGGAAGTTACCTCAAGTGGATATTATAACCTCCCACTTATCCTCATCTTCTGTTGAAAATCAAGTTATTTGTAGATTTGGGGCAATGATGGCTGGTTGTACAAAGTAAAGAGAATAAATTCAGATGAATTATTTCCTTAGAAAAAAAAAAAGATGCCCAAGGTTGGCAAGGTAGAAAGCATGCAGAGGGGAGGCTACGGCACAAATCTCCTGAAAACAAATAAGTCCCCCATCCAAGAACCAGATCTTATACCACCACTCATCTCCTCCTTTAGCAAAGAAAGCAATTCACTAGCAGCATCTTTTGCCTTATCTATCTAGATGGTGTGTGTTAACTCCAGCTCAAATTCTACAATAATCCATCTTTTTCCTGGGCATGTTTAGTCACATTGTTATTTGCTTTACTGAAACAGAGCCACTCCTGTGAGCACAAAAGCACAAAGGTGTGTGGCTCTGAGTTGTGTCTTCTCACAAAGGTGTGCTTTCTGTCAGATGCTGCTGTGCAGGCCTCAGTCAGTTCCTTGGGTGGTACGAGGTTCAGGGGACTCTGTCTGACCTACTAGTGTTTGCAGGACCATTCTGGATGTGGGAGTGGCCAGGGATGGTCTGCTGCTGAGCAGTGAGGACCAGGGTGACCTGCTTCAGTATTCAGGAGGCTCCTAACCAGCTGGCCTTCTTGCAGTAATAGCCAGAAACATTGCACACTATTCAAAAAACAACGGCCTGAGACCTCTGAAAAGTAAACAAAAGCAGGTAGACTTCAGGAAGGTGTCAAAACTCAGATGAAACAGCCAGTACTGGATCAACTTCCTGTGTCCTT